TAGAGGAACAATTATACACCAACAAATTATATAACCTAGAAGAAATGGATAGCTTTCTATAAACATACAACCTATTAAGACTGAATCATGACAAAATAGAAAATCTGAAAAGAACTAAAACTAGTGGAAAAACTTAAACAGTAATCAAAAACCCCCTAGAAGAAATGCCCAAGACCAGATGGATCCACTGGAGAATTCTACCAAACATTTAAAGAAGAATTAACACCAGTTTTTCTTGAACTCTTGCAAAGACTCTAAAAAGAGAAAACATTCCCAACTATTCAGAGGCCAGCATTACTTTGATACCAAAACCAGACAAAGACATAACAAGAAAAGAAAAGTACAGACCAATAGTTCTGATGAATATTGATACAAAATAGTAACAAACCAAGTTGAATAGCACATTAAAGGGGTCATAGACCACAGACAAGTGGAATTTATACCTGGAATTCAAAAATAGTTCAACATACAAAAATCAATCAGTGTAATACATCACACTAACAAAATGAAGGACAAAAACCACATGATCATCTCAATGGATGCAGAAAAAACATTTGACAAAATTCAACACCCTTTCATGATAAAAACATTAGACAAAGTAAGAATAGCAGGAAACTACCTTAACATAATAAAAGTTACATATGAATATCCCACAGCTCACATCATACTCAATGGGAAAGACTGAATGCTTTTCCTCTAAGATTAGGAACAAGGCAAAGATGCCCACTCTTGCTGCTATTATTGAACATAGTGCTGGAAGTTTCAGACAGAGAAATAACAAGAGAAAAAGAACTAAAAAGCATACAAATCAGAATAGAAGAAGGAAAAGTGCCTCTGTTCACAGACGGCATGATCTTATATGTACCAAATGCTAGGAATTCGACACAAAAGTCATTGGAATTAATAAAGGAATTCAGCAGTTTCAGAATACAAGATCATCACTCAAAAGTCAGTTGCGTTTCTATAATGAACGATGACTGATCTGAAAGTAAATTAAGGAAACATAGCATTGAAAAGATAAATACTTAGAAATAAACTTAACCAAGAAGATGAAAGACTTGTATAGGGGAAACTATAAAACTTTACCAAAAAAAAAATTGAAGAATATACAAATAAATGGAAAGATATCCTGTGCTTGTGAATTGGAAGACTTAATATTGTTAAAATGTCCATACTAGCCAAAGTGATCTATGGATTCAATGCAATCCCTGTCAAAATCTCAATAGCATTTTTGCAGAAATAGAAAAAAATTCCTGAAATTCATATGGAATATTAATAGTTAAAACAAACTTGAAAAAAGAAAATTGAAGTTGGATGTCCCACACGTCTTGATTTTAAAACATACTACAAAGTAACAGTAATTAAGAGTGCAAGGTTCTGATATGATGATAGGTATATAGACCAATGGAACAGAGTAGAAAACCCAGAAATACACCCTTGCATATGTTGCCAAATAATTTTCAACAAGGGTGCCAAGACTACATAAGGGGGAAAGGACAGTCTCTTTAACAAATAGGGTGGGGAAAATTGGATATCCACATGCAAAAGAATGAAGTTGGATCCTTGCTTTACACCATATACAAAAATTAACTCAAAATAAATTAAAGACCTAAAAGTAAGAGCTAAAACTATTAAACTCCTACAGGAAGAAACTACAGGGCAACAGCTTCAGTAGACTGGATTTAGCAATGATTTCTTGGACATGACAATAAAACAGAGGCAACAAAAAAATTTAAAAACAGACAAATGGGATGGCATCAAACATGAAAACTTCTGCATTTCAAAGAAAACAATCCACAGGGTGAAAAGGCAACGTATGGAATGGGAGAAAATAATTGCATAACGTATGTCTGATATGGGGTTAATATCCAGAATGTATAATGAATTTCTACAACTTAATAACAACCCCCCCAACCTCAAATAACCTGTTTAAAAATAACCAAAGGACTTGAATAGACGTTTCTTCAAATGAGATTTACAGATGGCCGATACACACATGAAAAGATGCTGAACATCACTAATTACTAGGGAAATGCAAACCAAAACCATAAGGAGGCTGAGTGTCATGGTTCACACCTCTAATCCCAGCACTTTGGGAGGACGAGGTGGCAAAATCCTTAGAGCTCAGGAGTTTGAGATCAGCCTAGGCAACATAGGGAGACTCTGCCTTTGAAATAATAATAATAATAAACAGGATATCACTTCATAACCATTCAAAATGGGCAATATTAAAATATCAGAAAATTACTGCATTGACAAAGATGTGGAGAAATTGTGGGTAACCCTTGTGCACTGTTGGCGGAAATGTAAAATGATGCAGCCTTTATGGAAAGCAGTAAACAGAGTTCTCAAAAACTTTAAAGTAGAATTACTACTATATGATCCAGCAATCCCACTTCTGAGTATATATCCACAAGAATTCAAAGTGAGATTGTGAGGAAACATTTACATACCCACATTCATCTCAGCATTATTTATATTTGCCAAGAGCTAGGCACATCCCACATGTCCATTATTACACAAGTGAATAAAGAAAATGTGGTATATACATACAATGGAATGTTATGTGGCACTAATACCCTAATATTCTCAAGGTATATCCATGTTGTAGCATGTGACAGGATGCTACAACATGGATAAACCTTGAGGATATTAGGCTAAGTGAGTTGCAATAAAAGGACAAATACTGTATGATTCCACTCACATGAAGTATCTAAAGCAGTCAAAAAATAGAAACAGAAAGTAGAAAGGCATTTACCAAGGGCTAGGAGCAGTGGGGGGGAGGAATTAGTGTTTAGTGGATATACAGCTTTAGTGTTGCGGCAAGATGAAAAAGTTCTAGAAATCCGTTGCATAACAATGTGAATATACTTAACACTACTGAATGGTACACTTAAAATGATTAAGGTGGCTTATTTCACTTAACACCGTGTCTTCCAGTTCTACTCGTGTTGCTGCAAATGACAGGATTTTATTCCTTTTTGTGGCTGAATAGTATTCCATTGTGTATAGATACCACATTTTCTTTATCCATTCATTTGTTGTTGGATGCCTAGACTGATTCCATATCTCAGCTATTGTTAGTAGTGCTGCAATAAATATGAGGGTGCAAATGTCTCTGATATATTGACTTCCCTTCCTTTGCATAAATGAATGAAACTGGAAGACATTATGTTAAGTGAAATAAGCCCAGAGAAATTTAAACATTGCATGTTCTCATTTACATGTGGAAGCTAAAAAAAAGCTGATCTCAAAGAAGTAAAACATAGAACAGAGGATATTAGAGGCTGGGAAGCATAGAGGAAAGGGAGAGATTTATTAAGTGACACAAAATTATAGCTAGGTAGGAGGAATATGTAGTAGTGTTCCATACCACTGTAGGATGACTATAGTTAACAATAAAATATTATGTAGTTTTAGATAGTTAGAAGGATATTGAATTTTCCCAACACAAAGAAATGATGTTTGAGATGATGGATCTGCCAATTACCCTGATGTGATTACTATACATTATATGTATTGAAACATCACTAGGTACCTCATAAATATGTACAATTATTATTATCAATTAAAAGCTACAGTAAATAGTCCTGATACCTGAATGCCTAAGCTGAAAATTACATGTTCATCTTATACACTCAGAAAAAAAGTGATAAAGGTGGTAAATTTTATATTATGTATGTGTGTGTTTTTTTGTTTTTTTACCGCAATAAATACTACAACCCTATAGAAAAGTTGAACTAGAAACATGAACAGGTAATTCACTGAAAATGAAATTCAAAATGCTCTAAGGCAATGAAAAGATTCTCAACTCTTCTCAAAATAAGAATAATACAAATTTAAACCACAGCAAGATACCATTTTCCACCCTCGACTTGGCAAAAATCCCAAAGTTTGACAATATACTTTGAGAGGCTGTGGGGAAACAGGCATTCTTGTCCATTTTTGGTAGAAATACAAAATAGTGCCACAACCACTATAGAAAGGAATTTGGCAACATATAGAAAAATTATATTTGGACTTACTTTTGATTTGAATCTATCCTAAAGATATACTGGCAAAAAAAAAAAAAAAAAAGCAAAGAGAAACATGCACCAAGCTATTTATCAGAATCTACTTAATACAGCAAATGTAAAAAAGCAACCCAAATGTCTATCCATATGGGACTGGTAAAATAAATGATAGTTTGTTACACAATAAATATACAATTATAAAATGATCCCTGAACTATACTAACTAAAAAAAAAAGCAAGTGAGAAAAGTGTGCATTATATGTTACTTCTTCCATCAAAAGGGCAGACAGTATCTATGCCTACATGCACACACACATATTTTAATATTTGCATTTATTTAAAAAATGGAAGGGTAATCCAGAAAACCAAGGAAGCGATGAAAAACAGCAAGAGGTTTATCTGAACGACTAAGGTACCAACATGAAGGGGACTTCACTGTCCAAATATGGAAACAAATTTGAGAATCACTAGCTGTAGTAGACTGAAACACATCAAAAATGCTTAAGAGCATAAATTCATAATTATAGTTTTTTAAAAAAGAAATCCTAATAATTACTTTTGCAGAATGTTGAAATTCAACTCAATAATTTGAAAATCTATAGATAGAAGGAAATACTTAAATGTTTGTCTTCTTTTTATTACAGAAACTATACCTCAATGTAACTAGTTGATGAGGAGATATTTGTCTTTATGAAATTATTTCAGTTAGTAAAAGAGGAAGAAATATAGAATGTAATCACCTTGCAATCCTCAATAAAATATTGGATTTGGGCAAAAATAATCAATGAATGCTAACTCTGCAAAAACAGACATTATGCTTCTTAATTAAAGTACATAATGCCACCTATGAAGAAATTTGGCCAAAATGAAATCTGAATCTGCAAGTATCTAGGTCTATTAGAAAATTTACAGGACCGCTTAGTGCAGAGCTGAGTTCAATTCCTGGATATCCTTGTTAACTTTCTGTCTCTGTTGATCTGTTGACAGTGACATCTACAGAACTCTCCACCCCAAATCAACAGAATATACATTCTTCTCAGCACCACATCGCACTTATTCCAAAATTGACCACATAGTTGGAAGTAAAGCACTCTTCGGCAAATGTAAAAGAACAGAAATTATAACAAACTGTCTCTCAGACCACAGTGCAATCAAACTAGAACTCAGGATTAAGAAACTCACTAAAAACCGCTCAACTACATGGAAAATGAACAACCTGCTCCTGAATGATGACTGGGTACATAACGAAATGAAGGCATAAATAAAGATGTTATTTGAAACCAATAAGAACAAATACACAACATACCAGAATTTCTGGGACACATTTAAAGCAGTGTGTAGAGGCAAATTTATAACACTAAATGCACACAAGAGAAAGCAGGAAAGATCTAAAATTGACATGCTAACATCGCAATTAAAAGAACTAGAGAAGCAAGAGCAAACACATTCAAAAGCTAGCAGAAGGCAAGAAATGACAAAGATCAGAGCAGAACTGAAGGAGACAGAGACACAAAAAAACCCTTCAAAAAGTCAGTGAGTCCAGGAGCTGGTTTTTTGAAAAGATCAACAAAATTGATAGACCGCTAGCAAGACTAATAAAGAAGAAAAGAGAGAAGAATCAAATAGATGCAATAAAAAATGATAAAGGGGATATCACCACCGATCACACAGAAATACAAACTACCATCAGAGAATACTATAAACACCTCTACACAAATAAACTAGAAAACCTAGGAGAAATGGATAAATTTCTGGACACACAAACTCTCCCAAGACTAAACCAGGAAGGAGTTGAATCCCTGAATAGACCAATAGCAGGCTCTGAAATTGAGGCAATAATTAATAGCCTACCAACCAAAAAAATTCGAGGACCAGATGGATTCACAGCCGAATTCTACCAGAGGTACAAGGAGGAGCTGGTACCATTCCTTCTGAAACTATTCGAATCAATAGAAAAAGAGGGAATCCTCCCTAACTCATTTTATGAGGCCAACATCATCCTGATACCAAAGCCTGGCAGAGACACACACAAAAAAGAGAACTTTAGACCAATATCCCTGATGAACATCGATGCAAAAATCCTCAATAAAATAGTGGCAAACCGGATCCAGCAGCACATCAAAAAGCTTATCGACCATGATCAAGTGGGCTTCATCCCTGGGATGCAAGGCTGGTTCAACATACGCAAATCAATAAACGTAATCCAGCATATAAACAGAACCAAAGACAAAAACCACATGATTATCTCAATAGATGCAGAAAAGGCCTTTGACAAAATTTAACAGCCCTTCATGCTAAAAACGCTCAATAAATTCGGTATTGATGGAACATATCTCAAAATAATAAGAGCTATTTATGACAAACCCACAGCCAATATCATACTGAATGGGCAAAAACTGGAAAAATTCCCTTTGAAATCTGGCACAAGACAGGGATGCCCTCTCTCACCACTCCTATTCAACATAGTGTTGGAAGTTCTGGCTAGGGCAATCAGGCAAGAGAAAGAAATAAAGTGTATTCAGTTAGGAAAAGAAGAAGTCAAATTGTCCCTGTTTGCAGTTGACATGATTGTATATTTAGAAAACCCCATCGTCTCAGCCCAAAATATCCTTAAGCTGATAAGCAACTTCAGCAAAGTCTCAGGATACAAAATTAATGTGCAAAAATCACAAGCATTCTTATACACCAGTAACAGACAGACAGAGAGCCAAATCATGAGTGAACTCCCATTCACAATTGCTTCAAAGAGAATAAAATACCTAGGAATCCAACTTACAAGGGATGTGAAGGACCTCTTCAAGGAGAACTACAAACCACTGCTCAGTGAAATAAAAGAGGACACAAACAAATGGAAGAACATACCATGCTCATGGATAGGAAGAATCAGTATCGTGCAAATGGCCATACTGCCCAAAGTAATTTATAGATTCAATGCCACCCCCATCAAGCTACCAATGACTTTCTTCACAGAACTGGAAAAAAACACTTTAAAGTTAATATGGAACCAAAAAAGAGCCTGCATTGCCAAGACAATTCTAAGCTAAAAGAACAAAGCTGGAGGCATCACGCTACCTGAGTTCAAACTATACTGCAAGGCTATTGTAACCAAAACAGCATGGTACTCATACCAAAACAGAGATATAGACCAATGGAACAGAACAGAACCCTCAGAAATAATAACACACGTCTACAACCATGTGACATTTGACAAATATGACAAAAACAAGAAATGGGGAAAGGATTCCTTATTTAATAAATGGTGCTGGGAAAATTGGCTAGCCATATGCAGAAACCTGAAACTTGATCCCTTACTTACACCTTATACAAAAATTAATTCAAGATGGATTAAAGACATAAATGTTAGACCTAAAACCATAAACAACCCTAGAAGAAAACCTAGGCAATACCATTCAGGACATAGGCATGGGCAAGGACTTCATGACTAAAACACCAAAAGCAATGGCAACAAAAGCCAAAATTGACAAATGGGATCTAATTAAACTAAAGAGCTTCTGCACAGCAAAAGAAACTACCATCCGAGTGAACAGGTAACCTACAGAATGGGAAAAAATTTTTGCAATCTGCTTATCTGACAAAGGGCTAATATCTAGAATCTACAAAGAACTCAAACAAAGTTACAAGAAAAAACACCCCCTCAAAAAGTGAGTGAAGGATATGAGCAGACACTTCTCAAAAGAAGACATTTGTGCAGCCAACACACACATGAAAAAATGCTCATCATCACTGGCCATCAGAGAAACGCAAATCAAAACCATAATGAGATACCATCTCACACCAGTTAGAATGGCAATCATTAAAAAGTCAAGAAACAACAGGTGCTGGAGAGGATGTGAAGAAGTAGGAACACTTTTACACTGTTGGTGGGACTGTAAACTAGTTCTAGCATTGTGGAAGACTGTGTGGTGATTCCTCCAGGATCTAGAACTAGAAATACCATTTGACCCAGCCATCCCATTACTGGGTATATACCCAAAGGATTATAAATCATGCTGCTATAAAGACACATGCACACATATGTTTATTGCGGCACTATTCCCAATAACAAAGACTTGGAACCAACCCAAATGTCCATCAGTGATAGACTGGATTAAGAAAATGTGACACATATACACCATGGAATACTATGCAGCCATAAAAAAGGATGAGTTCATGTCCTTTGTAGGGACATGGATGCAGCTGGAAACTATCATTCTCAGCAAACTATCGCAAGGACAAAAAACCAAACACCGCATGTTCTCACTCATAGATGGGCATTGATCAATGAGAACACTTGGACACAGGAAGGGGAACACGACACACCAGGGCCTGTCGTGGGGTGGGGGAAGGGGGGAGGGATAGTATTAGGAGATATACCTAATGTAAATGATGAGTTAATGGGTGCAGCACACCAACATGGCACATGTATACATATGTAACAAACCTGCACATTGTGCACATGTACCCTAGAATTTAAAGTATAATAATAAAAAAAAAAAGAAAATTTACAGGAAATACAGAGGGAAAGCTCTATGCGGATGCAATTCACAAAATCCAGACTACGGGAAATACTCTAAGAAATGTTACGATTTCTTTTTAAAACTGATAAATTAGGGGCCAGGCATGGTGGCTCATGCCTGTAATCCCAGTACTTTGGAGGCCGAGGCGGGTGGATCACGAGGTCAGGGGATCAGGAGGTCAGGAGATTGAGACCATCATGGCTAACACAGTGAAACCCCATGTCTACTAAAAATACAAGAAATTAGTCGGGCATGTGGTGGGCACCTGTAGTCCCAGCTACTCAGGAGGCTGAGGCAAGAAAATGGTGTGAACCCGGGAGGTGGAGCTTGCAGTGAGCCGAGATCGAGCCACTGCACTCCACCCTGGGCAACAGAGCAAGACTCCGTCTCAAAAAAATATATATATAAATAATAATAATAAATAGAGATACAGATGCATGGGGAATATATATATATATAAAATGTATAGTTTATGGGACATATCTGGCATTTGGAATGTTTAAACCTTTTTTGGATTTGATTTGAACAAATTATAAAAAAAAAAAAAAAATTTCAAAAAGGAAACAATCAGGGAGATTTTAACAGTGACCAGACATTTGATGGTGTTAAGAAATCTAGGCGGGCGGGGCTCAGCTGTATCCAGCACTTTGGAGCAGACGGGGATCAGGTCAGGAGATCGAGCATCCTGCTACACGGTGAAACCCGTCCTACTAAAAAAAAAAAAAACTAGCGGCGAGGTGGGGGCCTGTGTCCCAGTACTGGGAGGCTGAGGCAGGGAATGGGTGAACCAGGAGGCGGAGCTTGCAGTGAGCTGAGATCCAGCACTGACTCCAGCTGGGAGACAGAGCGAGACTCCGTCTCAAAAAAAAAAAAAAAAAAAAAAAAAAATCTCCTTCCTCCACAAACACATATGTGGGTGTGTGTGACAGAGACAGAGATTGATAATGACATTGTGGTTATGTTTTTCAAATGGAATTTAACTTTTATGTATACACCTACATAATATATTACATATAAATAAATATAACAAAATACATGAATAAGAAATGCTATAATATTTAGTTTTTGCTTGAAAATTACCTGGGTAAGAAGAAGAAAAAATGAGTGAAGATGAGTTGATAATTGCTGAAGCTCAGAGCTACCCAAGTGAGGTTCAGGTATAATCTTTAACTACTTTTGTTTATGCCTAAGATATTCCATTATTAAAACTTTTTTAACCATGGAAAGAAAGGAAGATGGGGAGAAGAGGAATCTCTACCTCTAAACTTTTCATTGGATCTAAATCTTGCCATTAGAATCCCATTGCAAAGAAGCAGTCTTAATATTTACTTAAAAATATTCTTGGAGACCATTGCTTTATCAAGGGTAATGACAGACACAATTTTCAAATTCCGAGTTGAAAGAGAAGTTATAAAGAATCAAAGAGAAAGAAAATCTGTCAAGAAAACAATATAAACCCAGAAATTAATGTAAAGTATAATTTACTTACGTTTTTCTGACTGA